TTATGGCGAAGAGTGAGTGTCATTTAAAACAATGTATTTGCCCAAAAAAAAAAAGAAAAAAAAAAAGATTTTTATTTTTTTTTGTTATCTTGTTACTGAGGGCCCTCTTTGCTCAAGGGCCCCTGGGCACTTGCCCAGGTTGCCCATATGGTTAATCCGGCCTTGAGTTTCATCAATATCAGTTTCATCAATAACAAGTGCAGACCAGTTGAAAGTGAGATGATAATGCATGTTTAAACATACCCAATGATGCAAGAGATCTAATAGCAGCAGGTAAAGTATTCCAGTCTGTTGGGGCTTTGAACATGAACGCTCTTCTGTCAATCAATTTCTTTGAAGAGGGGACAGAGAAATAAATCTGGAAACAGGCCGTTTCTCAATCGCGAGGATGCTTGCTTGGTAGCCCATGTCTTCCGAGTCACTTCCTTCAGAAGCTAGGCAAGAATCCTTCCTGGCATTCGGAAAACGAAGAGTGGAACAGGCTAGCAAGTGTGCGTCATATGAGAGGCCCCGCCTTACATTTTCCGCCAGATTTGGGGAAATTGGTCCGTGCGCAAAGCATTGTGGGGATTTGAAGGACGCGAAGTCTACCCATGTGCAGCCTTGAAAATTACCCCCAAACCAAGGACGCGGCCTCGGTGGAATTCCATGTATGCTGGAGATTGGAACAGTCCTTCGGTGGCACTCGATGACGTAGCATCCTTGAAATATTGGCTTGGAAGCCAGTTTCCTCGAGATTGAGAAACGGCCAGAATGTCTAACTTGATGATTTGGCGAGTAGGGCACAAAATACTGCTTTAAATAAAGGAGGATAGTTAAGATAAATGCATTTAAATATCAGCTGGAGCCAATGCGTTTGTCTTCTTACATTTAATAAAGGCCGTTTAAGTTGGTTATACATTGTGCAGTGAAGTGTACGAAAAGGACAACCAAGAACAAATCTGCATAGTCTATTTATGAAAATGTTTTTCTCATAAACTTACTGATGTGATGTATGGAGTAACACTGGAAGGGCCACTATCTATGTGAATGATCAGACAGTCTTTAAAACCCAGTGAAAACTAAATTACTCGAACAATCCGAAGTAAAGTATTTTGCACAGGAACGTCTTGGTTCAACGCTGAATGACTTTGAATGAGTACTATAGCATGCACACAGTCAAACAATGCAGAAGATTATAACAGACTCTTTGGTTGTGTCCGCTTCTGGTTTTAAAATGATTTGAAACCCTTAAAGTAAAATACCTGGAGATTTGTCAGAATACAAATGTCCAATAGTGCTCTGCTCTAAAGATGTAGCTTACAGTGTTGGGATCCCAGCAGTGACATTGGCGAGTTAACACATTACTGATAAGACTAGCGGTCCAAACTACAAACAACAGGCTTCACATGGGAGAGAATCTGCTTTACCAGAAAACACACATCTCAGGCTTGATCTCTGTTGGCTTACCCTCTTTATAATGTACATGCCATGTTTTGAAAAGGTGCACAGACAAAAAAAACAAGGCATGAAACTTCCCAGAATGCTCCGAGGACTTGTACTTCCTCCTGACTGCACTCACATCCCCTTGTCTACAGCTTCTCAACTCTCTCTGGTTTACTTTTTCTCACGTGCTCTGATTCCAACTTAAATCTTTACCTCTCTCTGAAAATGCCCCGCCTCCCTCACCTTTCCCCCCCCTTGTTCCACCTCCTTAAACCTCCTCCACCTCCTTCGAAAACTGATACAATTATCATCAAGAATCTTTCCCCATTTTCCACCCTTTTCTTTGCGTTTATTGAAGCGAATCAGACAATTTGAGAGCGTCTTCCCGTCAGGATCAAGCCATTCTCTGCACTCATTGTTTTCACAGAAGGCTTTATGCACTTAAAAAGCCCCAACACGATCGCTGCTCCACTGATTCTGAAGAATTAGCGAGGTACCGAGGTATTAAGTGGTTAGTATTTTTGATGTGCTAGATGCAACACTCAAACAAAGAGCAGATTAAGGATCAAATTCTCAACACATTGGAGACCTTATGCTTAAGACTTCCTCGGAGATTAAAAGTGTAATTTGATGATGTAGTGATATCTGACCTGATTCTGAATGAATATCCTGATTTGTTTTTGTTTGTTTTGTGTATTCTTTTTGACCTCGCCTTTGTGTAATAATGCCAGAAATGTGGTTGATTGAAGTGTTTGCTCTATTTTTAACCCTAATTAGGTTTTGGTTTTCTGTTATTGACACTTCCTGTTTTAAAAAAAGGGTTACAAAAAGAAAATGTTCACTTCAAGGATCTATGGTTTTGGGCTGTATTCCTTTTCATGAATCTGTTTTAATTGATTGTTTTACTTTGGGTAGAAGATATCCTTTGAGACTTTGTCTGTGAATAAGGGCTGTGCAAATAAATATGAAATTAATTTAATTTGACATCCAGATAAACAATTATAAGGATATCAACCGCACAAACTGATGAGGAACTTTCGAGTCAGTTTGAGCTATTTTTTATTTGTCTGTCCATAGCCCTTATGTGCCTTTTTATCTATTCTTATGTGTGCCTTTAATCTATTATTGTAATATTATATGTTATTATAATGTTATGTCTGCTGTGAAACCCTCTGTTTTTAATATGTGCTATATAAATAAAGTGGATTGGATCGGATTCAAATGACTTCAATAAAAGTGTCTGAATACTTTCTTTGTATCAGCACCACATATCTATGTATGTATTATCTCTGAATATAAGAAATATTTAGCAAGTGCGAGGGAAGCTCTGGCTATGAGTTCAATAAGAATAATATGCCAGTAAACTTGCATAAATAGAAAAAAAAGTTGCTTTAAGTGACAAATTAATGTGTTTTCATGTGTCTGTGGTAATATCTCATATTCCTCCACTTTGACACGATTGCCTGCGAGAGTAAACAATTACACCTGGATCAAAGTACTGCGATAATTATATATCAAGCGCTGGTTAGTGGTAATGTTTATACTCAGATATAACGGGCGGGCTATGCTATGAGATGCTCTGAAATCTCCCTTTCATCTTTTTATACTTTCTACCCCATCAAGGCACTTTTCGACACACACACACACACACACACACACACACACACACACACACACACACACACACACACACACACACACACACAACACACCTTCTCTGTGTTGGTATGACACAGGAAAAAGCGGGGCCCTGCAGCCAAGCCCGCCGTCCGCACTGAATGCGATTAAACTGAGCAGTGATTAATCTGGGCTGCCCCATAATTCCTCTTTACCACTTTAATGGATGTTATCTCCCCTCCTCTGAAGGCTTATCTTGCTGATCGGGGCCAAGGATGAGGAGAGGAAGAGGAGGGGGGTGGCTTTGAGTAGAGGGGGAGAGAAATCAAACTAAATCCATACAGGGGTAAGTAAACGAATAAGTAAGTAAATAAGTAAGTAAATAAATAAATAAATGCGGGGATTGAGGAAACTGCTAAGCGGATAAGGCAGATCAGTCTCTGTAAAGGGCTCATTTGTTTTCCAAGAAGACGAGACAAGCCGCCTTCAAAGCCTGCTGATACAGTAAAAACACAGTCAACATCACCATTCACACACAAACTAAATAAATTATCCAAAAAGCTGTCAATAACATTCAACCAACCCTCATTGTTAGGATGAGGTGTACTCCAAACTGATTTTTCAATGAGCTCATTTAGTTGGAAATAATGGCATTGGGTGTTTCTCAATGTCGAGGAAGGATGCTCCAGAGCCACTATTTCAAGCATACTACCTCATCGAGTGCCGCCGAAGGACTTTTCCAATGTCCAACATACTTGGAATTCTACCGAGGCCGGCGTACTTCGCAGCAAGAAATTTGTAGGCTGTTGTAGACTCCGCGGTCTTAAAATCCCCACAATGCTTTGCGCACGGACCAATTTCCCCAAATCTGTGGCGGAAAATGTAAGGCGGGGCCTCTCATATGAC